TCATTCATGAAATTTAGGTATCCAGAATAATACATATGCCTTGAGCATTGGCATTAGGTAGCCCCACCTGGCCCAGTCTGGGGCCCCACCTGTGCTGGTGCCATGTGTTTACAGGGGTCTAGATGAAGGAAATGTAGTAGCGTACAAGATAAAAACAAGCTTATTATGATAGAAGCGAACAGGCGACGTGCAAGAATCCGTTCAAAAAGATAGGATGAGATCGTTGGAACAAGAACTTTTTTGGCCTGATGTCTCAGATTGTTGCCTGAACGAACCATCAAAGACAACCACAGAAAGAGGTTAGTGGGGTACAGAGTGCGTAATATTTTCAGGCAGTTCCAGCCACGCAACCAAATATGCTCTCGTGGTTATCGTTTGGGGTCGTGAACGATGCGATGATGATTCGGCTGTTTGCGCCTGAGTCGTTAATTGCCGCGATTTCATCATCCATGCTAGACATTGGTGTGATAGTTACGCAACAATTAGGTTCACTGTCATCGAAATTGTTAATGATCCGTGTTAGGACGGCCTTACGAACAGTCTTAGCAAGAAGCAGCTTGAAAGCGATAGCCCATACACGGTAAGCTATCGATCGGCCTACACGCGAGCGAACGCATTGTGCAGTCAATCAATCGTAAACTTTAAATTCAAACTACAGTCAGTCGTGAGTCACCAGCCAATCCTTACGGTGACTGTTTTAGGAGAGGATCTGATTGCCTCAATAGGCATCATGTTAGTGTTTCCTACTCATGCCTCTGATGACGAATCCGCGACGGGTATCGAAACGTAAGGCGAATAAACCTATTGTCCCAGCGATCGAGTCTTCTTCTCCTCAGTTACACGGTTTGTTGTCCTAAATACGTTGTAACTATTGCACTATAAGTCTTCTGCTGTTGCACACTTCTTTTCAGTATAATTCAGTATATATAACGGAAAGAGGCAGAGCCTTTGAAAACCCTATTCTTGTCATGTTCTTCCTTTGCGGACTCACACAAGGCGTTATTGAGCGGTGATACCTCGACTTGGGCCTCCGTTACAATAATCAGCGCCCACCCCAAGTAAACAGGGTGTCCCAAAAATGTAAACACATTTTAAATAACTGTGAACTTGGTGTTTATTATAATTTTACTATTTCACAAATGAAAACAATACGTACAATTATAATTTTATTGTTTTTTTAATGCATTTTTACTATTGCAACAGTAGCTGAACTGAGAGAAGCCATTGAGCATAAATGCACCCGAATACCAACGGAAGTGTTTCATGGTGTGTGCGATTCCATTGCATCGCGTTTTCAGCAGTATCATGATCAAAATGGATGTCAGTTTGAGAACATTCAGTGAAAAAAAATAATAAAATGATACTGGTACATATTTTTTTAATTTTTGAAATACTTAAATTATGATAGACACCAATTTTACAATTATGTAAAATGTCTATACATTTTTTTGGGACACCCTGTATTTCCCTTGAGACTCCAGCAGTTAACTGAATTGAGCGTAGCAAGCAGCGCCTAACACAAAACCGGCGGTTCGGCATAAGGTTTTGTCCGCGGATAATGCCGCGAGTAATTCCTGGACAGTCTAAACGTAAGTAAAAATAAAATCAACCTTCACACAGTTTTTGTCTGCATATGTTAGCTTTTTATTGTCCATGAAGTTTTTACCAATTTTCCCTTGTCAGACTAACCCCCCAGAGCTATATCGCTACAATTGAAAAGATCTCACACTATAGCAATAGAACCTGCAGAACGTTATAACATCCTGCAAAACTCAGTATATATTTTTATGTATACGTTGGTCATATGAACTCCAAACTCAAGCGCTGTCCTTGAGGACTGTAGTTTTCTCATTTGATGAACATCCATACATTTCTATGCGATAAATACCCAGAGTACATTCAGGAATGTTCTATTGCACAAACCTTTTGACAGTCATCTTCGTCAAACGTTCACACGCATTTCGCATGCGATATTATTGTAATGCCTTTTGATCATTTAAAACTGTGATCCAACTAAAACCCATGGTTCGTCTTTTTTTACGGATTTTTGGGCTAACACTGAGACAGCACAGCCTTGAACGCAATTAACAGTTTATAAGCATGCTTCCCTATAGTTTACGAACGCACTAGTGTTAAGTACTCAATTACAAATTATACTCCAGATTGAGGTGGCGCATCAGCAATTTATTTACTGCCACATTCCAGAATGAGTCAACATTTTGGCTAGTGAATTTGTTCGTCTTGCTTTGTCTGGAATGATAAGATTACTTCAGTTGTGATTCAGTTCAAGAGTGTGGAAAATGGTGTTAGGACTACTTAAGGCGCCAAAACTTGTTTCAGTTGATACTAATTGAACCTCATCGCCCGCGGCTTCGCTTTTGTTATTAACACAAATCAATAACTCTTTTGTTATTTTTTCATGATTTTACGATTTTCAAGGCTACTCAAAGAAAGCTTGTGGGCAGAATACACATTTGAATTGGCAAAAAGATTTCCTTTAAATTAATACACACAAGATCTTGTCGTCACGAGTGTTTTCAGTTGCTTCTTCTGAATTCGCCATCACATTGAGTCACTTCTTCTCTTAGCTGACCGCGGAGCCACGGGAACTCCTTGATGCGTAATATAATTGGAGTATCACTCTAATTTCTTGACGCAGGCTATCATCCATTGCCTGCTCTTATGGAAGAACAGCTATTATACTTGGTAGAATCTCTTGTGCTTATAGGAATTTGGTTTGTTGCTACTTCGTAAAACATTGGTTGCTAATAAACATATCCCTAGCAGTATTATCGAGAAAAATACCATCTAAAACCTCGCTGTCAGGTTGGGATTCTCTTCTGAAATATGTAGACTTGCCTGGAATCCCATAGCTTGGCCGACTTACGTTGTGCTGCAGCGTTTTCTCTCTTAAATGCTTGTCTCAATGTAATTTACTTTTCTCGAAATATTCTGAGCTCGCGTCTTGGGATCGGAGGGTTTCTTGTCATACACGGCAATTGACAAACCCGACTTAAAAGTTGTTCATGCCAAAAAGCTCCCAAACACGATATTCCTATCTTAATTGCCGTCGCTATGGTATGCTACTTCAACAGAAAGCCAGGCTTCTTTAGTTGGGACTGGACCATATTCCTCTTTCAACTGACGTATCGGAAGTAAAACGATAAACAGAACAGTGAGACTACCTGCGGAGATTTCCCGCATCACTGCAGCTCTACTTAGTCGTGGTTATCCTGCACGTTTCATTTTACCCTTTAAGGGTGATAGTATTTCGAATACTATCAAGCGATGGTTGCGTTTTACCGTAGAAAGAACGTACAACACAGCTGAATTTGTCTTCATCTGTCCTACTAAAAGCTTTCCGTTAAAAGGGGCAAAGGATGTCTTGCCATTTCACGCAACCCCAAATTGTATCCATGGGTTCACATGCACTTGCAGATGCAAGTACATTAGGCAACTGACAGTCAGGGCCACTGAACACTTGCCTAATTGGCCTTTCAAGCAAAAACACAGGGTACAACTATCTTCGATTACTAAAAACCTGCCAGACAGTGGTCACTCTTTCGACCTCAAAACAACTTTCCGAGTACTTGTCCGGGCACTAACAAATCGGACCCTTGGTCACTTCGAGGTGGCCTACATACGGCGGAAGAAACCCGACCTGTGCAAGCAAATAGACTAAATCGTCAATCTCTAACTTGGTAATTGGGCAGCTAGTTTTAATCACGACTTGGTTTGCACCAACTCCCTCTACCCCCTTTTCTTCCTATAGGCTGATTTAATGTATTGCCCTTCCGTTGATCATTATTTACATTGAACTATGAACCTTGCTGTTATGCATTGACATTCAGTGGAATTAAAATCTGATGTATGCCTCTAACATGCGCATGTTTCA